GCGCCTGGCCTATTTTTTCAGTTTTTTAAGGTGGAAGCTTAGATTATTTATTCGTGACCTTTATTTTCTAATGTGAGCATTGTAATGCTATAAATAGTTCCTGTGAACACTACTTTGGCTGCATCCTGTGAATTTTGGTACGTTTAAATTTTTATTTAGCTCTAAACATTTTAAAATTTATCTTGAGACTTCCTTTTTGTCCAATGGTTTATTTTAGGGCATATTATGTTATGATTTAATTCTGATATAGTCAGCATATTTTGTATGATTTCTGTTATATTGTTTAAAGATTTCAAGCTTAGGCAACATAGCAAGACCCCATTTCTACAAAAAGAAAAAAAAAAATTAGCCAGGCATGGTCCCGCTACCCAGGTGGCTGAGGCAGGAGGATTGCTTGAAATCCGCAGGTCAAGGCTGCAGTGAGCCATGATTGTGCCATTGCACTCTAGCTCTATCACCTAGTGCAGTGGTGCAATCACGGCTCACTGCAGTCTCAACCTCCTGAGTTCAAGCAATCCTAAGCAATCCTCATGCCTCAGTCACCACACATGGTTTTTTGTTTTTTATTTTTATTTTTGGTAGAGACAGGGCTCTCGCTGTGTTGCCCACGCTGGTCTCCAACTCCTGGCCTCCTGCAATTCTCCCACCTCAGCCTCCCAAAGTATCAGGATGACAGGCATGAGCTGCTGTGCCTGGCCTCACACTTTTGTTAAGGATTTCAAACTTTTGTTAAAGTTTGTTTTATGGCCAAGAATATAGTTTATCTTGGTGGATGTTCCATGTACACTTGGTCTAGAAAACTAGAGATCAATATTCTTGGGAATACAGATGCAAAATTCCTCAAGAAAACAACAAAATGAATCCAATAATATACAAAAAGTGTAATACATCGCTCTTAAGTGGAATACATCCCAGGAATGCAAGGCTGTTTCAACCTACGAAAATCAGTGTAATTCAATCCATCGTATTAACTAATAGTAAAGAAAAACCTCATGTTCATTTTATGCAGAAAAAGCAAGAAACAAAATAAATTCAACATTCACTCATGACCCCAAAACGCTCCCAAATTTGACAAGCTAGAAATGTAAGAGATCTTTTGCATGGCAAGGGGCTTCTGCAAAACCCCTCAGCTGACATCGTGCTCAATGCTGAAGGACTGAATGTTTTTCCCCTGCGATTGGAAAGAAGGTCATGGTGTGCACTCTAACCATTTCTGTTCAGCATTACACTGAAGCCCTGGTCGGTTCGATAAAGCAAGAAAAAACAAGAAAGATAGGCACATTAGAAAGGAAGAAATAAAACATACTGTTCACAGAAAACAGGACTGTAGAAAATCCCATGAAATCTACCAAAAACTTCCTAAGAAGTGAGTTTAGCAAAGACGCAGGCTCCAGGGTAAATACACTAAGATCAATTACACTTTTGTAATAGCAATAAACAATGGGACATTAAAGCATAAAAAACTACCATTTGTAATGGCACTCCAAAAATGAAATAATTAGGTGTAAATTAGAAAGATGTATGTAGGATGTGTAGGCTGAAAACTACAAAATACTGATGAAAGAAATCAATGAAGATCCAAATCAGTGGAGAGATATACCATGTTCATCAATTATGGTGTCAATTCTTCCCTAATTACAGGTCTACAGATTTAGATAGTGACAAGCTGAAACTAAAATTTATAAGAAGACTCAAAAGAATTGGAATAGCCAAGGTAATTTGGAAAAAGAAGAACAAAGGACTGAAAACCTGATTTCAAGATTTACTATAGGCCAGGTGCAGTGGCTTACATCTGTAATTCCAGCACTTTGGGAGGCGAAGGTGGGAGAATTGCTTGAGCCTAGGAATTTGAGACTAGCCTGGGCAATAGGTGAGACCCCCATCTCTGCAAAAAAGAAAAAGGAAAAAAAAGGCACACTAATCAAGTGGTATTGGTGAAAAGGTAGAAACACAGATCAATGGACTAGCATATTGTTCAGAATAGACCATATGGTCAATTGCGCTGCTACAAACATGTAAAGGTTCTTTTTGAAAATTTTTTGCACATGGAGACTTAATGAAGAAAGAGCAGCCTTTCAACAGATGGTACTGGAACAACTGGGCCTCCATATGCAAAACAGAAAAATAGAACCTTGGCCCATACCTCACACCTTACATAAAATTTAAACTGAATCATAGACCTAAATATGAAAGCTAAAACCATAAAACTTCTAGAGGAAAACAGAGGAGAAACTATTGTCTCTGGATTAGGCAATGTCATCATATATAAGATATAAAAAGCACAAATAATAAAAAGTTGGACTTTATTAAATTTAAAAACATCTCTTTGGGCCAGGTGTGGTGGCTCACGCCTGTAAGCCCAGCACTTTGGGAGGCCGAGGTCGGAGGATCACTTGAGGTCAAGAGTTCAAAACTAGCCTGGCCAACATGGCAAAACCCTGTCTCTACTAAAAATACAAAAGTTAGCACGGTGGTGCAAGTCCCCGCTACTTGGGAGGCTGAGGCAGGAGAGTAGATTGAACCCAGGAGGCAGAGGTTGCAGTGAGCCAAGATCATGCCACTGTACTCCAGCCTGGGCGACAGAGGAAGACTCCATCTCAAAAACAAAACAAAATAAAACAAACTTCTCTTTGAATGACACAGTTAAGAAAATGGAAAGAAGCCACAGACTGGGGGAATTTATTTGCAAATCACACATCTCATGAAAGACATATAAAGACCATTTGAAGAACACTGAGAAGTAAAAAATAAACCACCCCAAATTTCAAAGATGGCAAATGATTTGAACAGATACTTCACTAAAGGAGATACATGAATACCTCACACAGAAGCACATGAATAGATAGATTCTCAACATCATTAGTCTTCAGGCAAATGCAATTTATAAAATATTGGATCCCATGACATACCTATTAATATGACTTAAACACATAAAACCAGGCCGGGCGCTGTGGCTCACGCCTGTAATCCCAGCAATTTGGGACACTGAGGCAGGCAGATCATGAGGTCAGGAGATTGAGACCATCCTGGCTAACACAGCAAAACCCCTTCTCTACTAAAAAAAAATAAAAATTAGCCGGGCGTGGTGGCAGGTGCCTATAGTCCCAGCTACTCGGGAGGCTGAGGCAGGAGAATGGTGAGAACCCTGGAGGCAGAGTTTTCAGTGAGCCAAGATCACATCACTGCACTCCAGCCTGGGCAACAAGCAAGACTCTGTCTCAAAAATAAATACATTAATTAAATAAAAACAAATAAATAAGTAAACGAATAAAACCAAACCCTGACAATACCAAGAGCCAAGGAGCAACTGCAGCGCCTGTGGCGCTGGTGGGAGTGTAGAGCTGTATAACTTCTTTGGAAAACAGCTTAGTAGGTCGGTGCGGTGGCTCATGCCTGTAATCCCAGCACTTTGGGAGGCCGAGGCGGGTGGATCACCTGAAGTCAGCAGTTCAGAAGACCAGCCTGGCCAATATGACGAAACCCTGTCTCTACTAAAAATACAAAAATTAGTCCGGCATGGTGGTGCGTGCCTGTAATCCCAGCTACTCAGGAGGCTGAGGCAGGAGAATCGCTTGAGCCCAGGAAGCGGAGGTTGGAGTGAGCCAAGATCATGCCATTGCACTCCAGCCTGGGCGACAGAGTGAGACTCCATCTCGAAAAAGAAAAGAAAAGAAATGAAAAAATAGCTTGGCAGTTTCCTTTTTTTTTCTTTCCTTTTTTTCTTTCTTTTTTTTTTTGAGACAGAGTCTTGCTCTGTCGCTCAGGCTGGAGTGCAGTGGTGATCTCCGCTCACTGCAATCTCCACCTCCCAGGTTCAAGCGATTCTCCTGCCTCATCCTCCCGAGTAGCTGGGACTCCAGGTGGACGCCACCAGGCACAGGCAATTTTTTTGGATTTTTACTAGAGATGGGTTTTTGCCATGTTGGCTAGGCTGGTCTCAAAATCCTGACCTCAGGTGATCCGCCCACCTCAGCGTCGCAAGGTTCTAGAATTACAGGCGTGACCCACCGCGCCCAGCCGGCAGTTTCTTATAAACTGTCATATGATCCAGCAACCCCACTGCTGGGTATTTACACAAGAGAAATGAAAAGTTGTGTCCACACAGAAGCCGATGAGTGAATGTTTATGGCAGCGTCGTTCA